GACCACTGTTTTAAAGTATTCTACCCACCCTCTCCACTAGAACTCTCAGAAGGAAGTTTCTATTAATTCTTCGGCAATAGAACTTTCTTCTTTTCTGACCTGTTTGTCATTCCCTTCATGACAAGAATGTGAACTTCAATTTTTTCTACTTCTTTACTTCTCCCAGTCCAAAACTTTCCCATCAGGTAAACTATCTGATTAATCTTACAATACCCCCTTTTCACATCCCAACCAGGTCCTTTCTTTCTCAGAATAAACACTGCTGGCAAGGAGGAATGTGTAGCCAAACACATGGTTTGGGCTTATGAAGATATGCAAATGGAATTACTGAAGAAAGTGCAGGGCACATTTCTTTCTTTCTATAATATGAATCTGAGTAGTCCTTCCAATTAATCCTATATCAAAATATCTTCTACCTTGAATTTTATCTCACCATTACTCCAGGATAGATGGATAGAGTATAAATAAAAAAGGATCCCATACAATGTTATATTCCCATTCAATGGTAGCTGGATTTATTTTGACTGTGTCTAAAATCTGCAAGCAAAAAACTGAAGGACTGATTTGTGCAATTACAAGGAACGGGCCAATACATCTAGCTTCTTAGATAGGGATTCCCAATCCCGGGCTATTGATCAATACCAGTCCAAGGCCTGTTAGAAACTAAGCCATGCAAGCAATAGGTAAGCAAGCAAAGTTTCATGTGCTCATGGCAGAGGATCTCAGTTACATTTGCAATCATACTGCCTCACTCCCCCAGTCTATGGAAAAAATGTTTTCCATGAAACTGATCCCTGGTGCCAGAAAGGTTGGGGACTGCTGCCTTAGACTACTCCAAAAAGTGAAGAAATCTGGTAGAAAATAACTTCCTGGTGATATCACTCAGCACAGCAATTATAAAAAAAATCTAAAAATAAACCATGATCTTTGAGGAAGTAGCAAATAGTTTGCAGTTCCTGGAGAAAAAAAGGGAGACATTGGAGTGTAGGAGGGTAACAGACGCAGAAGAAAACTTTAACTAGCCTGAAATAGCAATATTTTAGTAAAATCTCCAACTGAATAAGGAAACTAAATAAGAAAACTTAGCCTTAGATAACAATCTCTACACACATAGCATTTAACCTCTTATAACCAACACAAAGATAAAAGGTGCTGCCTTGTTTTTCCTGGAATAACACTGGAGCTGCCACTCATGGTCTGGCTGATTGGATGAATCCCAGTTTCAAGTTCTTGTCAATAGAAGCATGCAACTCATAAAGCTCATGTGGAGTTATCGAATAGATTTTTGGCTTAGGGAGTTCTGCCCCAGGGAGAATTTCTGTACCACAGTTCATGGGGCAATGGAGCAGGAGTGTATTGGAACCCCTTTCACCGAACGCGGTCAGATTTTTAAGAGCCCCCTCCTCCAATTCACAAGAGGGTTATACCTATGGATCCAAGTCTCTCCAACCTGGGTGCTACTATAAAACTCAAAAGTTCTTTGTGGCTCCCTATCCTCATTTCCACAGGTTCTGTTATGAAGTGAGCTGCCCTCCCTTGCTACCAACCCATCCAATTGGCAGAAGGCTAGGGACACCTCCAGTCTCCTCAGTCTCAGTCCCAATTTCTCCACAACCTCTGGACTAACCACACAACTGATGCAGCCCAAGTCCAATACAGCCAACATTCTCTCCTGGGTGCCTGACACAGGCACTACTAGTGCCACTGGTACGATCACAGGGGTCACATGTCAACCTACCAGGGGGCCATTATTGGAGTCGGATTTGCTCAAATTCCCAGCCCCTCCTCCAGAAGATAGGCTGAAGATACAGAAAGTTTTTGACAGACTTGAACATTGGGCACTATCTAACAAAATGAAATTCAATGGTGAAAAAAGTAAGGTTCTACATTTAGGCAAGAAAAACAAAATGCACAGGTACAGTGTGGTACCTTGCTCAACAGTAGTAACTATGAGAGGGATCTTGGAGTCCTAGTGAACAACCATTTAAATACGAGCCAGCAGTGTGCAGAAGTGTTAATACCACTTGATAATGCCTTGGTAAGGCCACACTTGAAATACTGCATCCAGTTTTGGTCACCACAATATAAATAAGATGTGGAGACTCTAGACAGAGTACACAGAAGAGCAACAAAGATGATTAGGGGACTGGAGGCTAAAACATATGAAGAACGGCTGCAGGAACTCGGTATGTCTAGTTTGATGAAAAGAAGGACTAGGTGTGACATAATAGCAGTATTCCAATTTCTCAAGGGTTGCCACAAAGAAGTGGGAGTCAAGCTATTCTCCAAAGCACTTGAAGGCAGGACAAGAACCAATGAGTGGAAACTAAGCAAGGAGAGAAGCAACTTAGAACTAAGGAGAAGTTCCTGACAGTGAGAACAATTAATCAGTGGAACAACTTGCCTCCAGAAGTTGTAAATGCCAACATTGGAAGCTTTTAAGAAGAGATTGGATAACCATTTGTCTGAAATGGTGTAGGGTTTCCTGTCTAAATAGAGGATTGGACTAGAAGACCTTCAAGATCTCTTACAACTCTTCTGTTCTGTTCTATTATTCTATTCTATTCTATTCTATTCTATTCTATTCTATTCTATTCTATTCTATTCTATTCTATTCTATTCT